GGTTTGGGGTTTGGGGTTTAGGGCATGGTTTCCAGAGTCAGCGGGGCAGTGCTCAGGGCGTAGGGCTTAGAGTTTAGGGGTTTGGGGGTTTAGGGGTTTAGGGATTGGGGTTTGGGGTTTAGTGACGTTGCAAGCCAGTTGCAAAAAAGAGTTTAGGGGGTTTAGGGGTTAGGGCTTAGAGGGTTTAGGGGTTTAGGGTGGGCATGCCCAGCTGATAGCAAAGAGCCTGGGTTCAAAAAGGGTAGGGCTTAGAGTAAAGGGTTTGGAGTATCTTCGATTGACCATGCAGGGAACTTCATCGTCGCAAGTCCGATGCAACATGCAGCCTTTTTGAATCCTTTGCCGACTTGCAGTTTTCGCTAGCATCCCACCACCAGAAGCAATGTCGTGATTGTCTTCACCGCCCTTGCCCTAAACCCTAAACCCTAAGCCGTTGCACCATGATTTTTGCCACCGTCATCGCCATCCCTGCCCTGATCAGCATCTTCAGTCCTGCAGTCATCGCCGGCATTCTCAGCACCACCAGCTCCAGAGTTTTGCCACAGTCGCTTAGGGGTTTACCAGGTTTTACGGTTCAAGTGAGGGTTTGGTGGCCAAGTAGCCAACCTTAGGAATGAATAATCGGTACTTTTTTGAGGCTTCTACAGTATACACCCTAAAATCGGAAACCAAAAACCGTCGGAGCCAAGTAGGATTTTCACGAATCGTTGCCAGGCTTGTCCGGGCCCTAAACCCTAAACCCTAAGCCCTAAACCCTAATCCCTAAGCCCTAAACTCTAAACCCTAAACCCTAAACCCGAAACCCACACCCGAGGCCGACTGAGGCCACGGATGCGCCCAAGGACGGGGCAGACACGGATGCGACGGCTGGCACCTTGCTGGAGCATAGTGTAGTAAGTTATAGTATGTTTTAGTAGTGTAGTAAGTCAAAGTATATTCTAGTAGTGTAGTAGTGTAGTAAGTTATAGTATATTCTAGCTTGCGATAGAGCATCATAGTATGTCGTCAGTTCAGTCTGAAAGGTTGACGGGGTTCGCGATAGGGGTTGTTTAGCTCTCAATTTCTTGTTATGTCGGTTTTGGATGTGTCGGGGTTGTTGAATTGGGATGCAGAAAGTTCCTTCCCCGGTGTGTGTGTGTGTGAATAATGTAGGGGCCTTAATAGTTAGCAATACTTTTTTGGAAGTTTCTTATTACAATCATAGTATACTGGGCCCCAGAACCCTATTCTCATTATTGAGGCCCCTATGTTATACTATACTCGCTTTGCTCCGAATGCCAGCGATGACTGTCATCAACTCTCCTTAGAGGCTGCTCAGGCCTGTTTGAGGTACTGGTTAACTACTGTTGATGATATACATCCAGGAACTTTGGTATATATTCCTTATTATGGGTAATGTGGGATTCATATCATCAACCGTACCTAGAGTCTCCATCGCCGTTCGTTTTTTGGGGGGGTTGCATTATAATCCCCTTAATTTAGAGTTGGTCAAACCGAAAAGAGAACCGCAAGGGAGACTGAAGAGAATTGCCTCGTTGGCAGAAACTGGGACGGCAAGCTCCGTTCCTAACCCGTCGTCCTGAGAAATTCAACCCAACCAGCAATCACTAACGCTGGGAAATGAGCTGCCGTGAACCCGGCAACCTTAACTGCAAGCCTCATGAGTAGCCGAGGTGCGGATGCCGTGCCAGCAGCACCGACAGAGGAGACAACTCCCTTCGTTTCGGGCGTCTGTTTCTTCTGCTCTGAGCCCTTTTCCTTGATAAACCCCTCTGACCCCGATACAAGGGTCGGAATTATTAGACATAGTCAGAATAGCCCGTTATTTCGGGAATATAGTAAAACCAGTTGACCCGAAATCCCTATTCAATACCCTTTTGAAAAGTCTTGAGGCCCCTGTCTTGCATGCTGTACCCTGAACGCCTACAACCCATCGAGCCTTCAGCCAAAGCGCACGGCCTGGCTATCCTCTTGGCTTCATCCCCGCAATACGGTTTCTGAACTTCTGTTCCGGGTTTATTGCCTTGGGTTTAGGACCCTTTCCAGGTAAACCTTTGCGCAAAATCCTTACACTTGATGCTGCACCGCTCACGCGCGAGCCCGAAAAAAACCACCCGCCAAGGGTTTCAACAGGAAAGGAATGCTTCCTGCTCCCCAAGCCCTGAAACTTTAAACCCTAAACCCTAAAGCCCAAAACCCAAACCCTAAATCCTAAACCCGAAACCCTAAAGCCTAAACCCTAAACCCTAAGGCCTAAACCCTAAACCCGAGACGGCAAACCCTAAGCCCCAAAACCCAAAACCCAAAACTTTCGGCCCCACACGTCCCCTAAGCTTTGAACCCCAACAAATCGGGAAGTGTATCAACAAAAACTCTAAACTAGGTAGTATTATTAGGGGTACCCCTTAAAGGGTACCCCTTCTGAACCCTACTTCTGGCCCTCTTAAAAGGGACCTTATTGAGAGGGTCTATATCCTCAAGGGTCCCCCTAATCCTAGCTCCCATAAACCCCGGAACACAGATCCCAAGCCCTCAGCCCTGAACCCTCCTTGAGCCTTACAGTTACCACTCACCATCAATGGCGGCCGCCAGGAGGCCGCAGATGCTGGAACAGAAAAGCCGCTCGGCCTACCGGGCGCTAGGAATTTAGGGATTGGGGTTTAGGTATATGTATAAGCATGTATATATATATATATATGTATAATACATGTATATGTATATATATATATATATATATGTGTGTGTATGTATATGTATATACAGATGTACATATACATACAGATGGATGTGCATACATCTATATGGGTACATATATACATATATTCATGTATATGCGTGTGTGTACATTACGGTTTTCGTTGGTGGTTGGTTCCTGTAACTCTTGAAAGGCCTGGAAGGCATCGGGTGGGCTCAAAATCAGAAGCAGAACAAGCATAAGATACAAAGTATAGTAGAGCAACAACTGTGAGGCCCTGTTCCTTTTGGGGTAGCCGGAAGAGCCCTCGCACTCGTAGCTCCTGGACCATAGGCCCCAAAGTAGTTCCTTATTGGGGTTCATATTTAGAATCCTATAAGGTAACCCCAAAAGGAACTACTATGGGGCCTATGGGTAGACCCTGTAGACCCTCAGCACTGAACGCCAAGCGCACTAAACCCTAAACCCTAAACCCTAAACCCTAAACCCTAAACCCTAAACCCTAGACCCTAGACCCTAGACCCTAAACCCTTAAACCCTTAA